TAGATTTAAGAATCCAATGCTTATTCTATAGCGAGTTACACTTTTTTGAGAAAAGCAATAAACACAAAGTAATACACTTAAAATTCATAAAATATGCCAACATCCACGAAATTTGATTTAAAACTAAAAATTTATGAAGCGAAATTCATGAAATATGTGAAAGTCCCACAGCCATTTTGCTAGAAAAATCAGGTGTAAAAAGTAAGGAAAGTAAACACCTGTCATGAGCACGAATAAATCATCGTAACGGGTGGCAGTAATCAAATTATGCTTCACTCAGAGGAATAAGAGAGCTTTGACAAGTTAGTGTAGATTATATACATTAATGGAAGTTTAAGGAGCTTCCACGCGTTCAGTTCCCACGACACGCCATTAGAAACCCATTAATGCCCGAGCGCCGCATGGATAATACGCTCTAAATGGACCGCGCTTCCCATAAGCGGTCACGGAAGTCACTTTCTGTGCAGCGCGACTCAGGCTGCGCGTCTGAAGTTCTGCCGCGTCGCTGGACGATCAAACGATCATGGGAGACGAACATGACTTGGCAGAATATTTCCTTGAATTTCTTAATATTTCTAGAAACAAAACCGCCCCAAAAATGTTACATTTAGTAAAATTATACTTATATATACCGTGCAGGTCCATAATACTTTCGGGCTTTGCATCTATTAAAATGTTTCTCCGCAATTTCAATCCAACGTCATCCAGGCTTATGCATTATATCATAATTCATTTTAGAATAACCATTAAGAAAAATGTACAATAAATTAGGATTTTGATGATAGCATTACTTGAAAACTTATGACAACAAAATAATCATGATCTAATCAAGAAATTAGCCTCGTACATAAAAAATAAGATGGAATAAGTGAGGTAGATCTTCGAGCGAGGTGTGAAACAAGCGAGTGGGCCTATAGCATCGAGCATAGTGGAGGGTCTCTTAGGGCGTCGGCTTTTTAATTTCCGGCATTCAACGGAGATCGTTTAACCCTGACACTGCGGTGAGGCGCGGTTCATAGCGAGTAATACTTCTTTGTGGCAGTCGTAAGACAAAGCTCCATCACGAGACGCATGCCATTACAATAACTATAATGACGGGAGCCAGAGAGAGTGAACCTTCCTCTGCTCATCGCATGTCGCAAGCATGTGAAAGCCATGAGCATCTTTGGTAGCTTTCAGCGATTTGAGCCGCAAATGTATGCATGTGTTCAGTTATAGCAGAGATCTAATGATTAGAAATTCACATCGTTCAATTATACACTTACCGAGTCGACAACATACAGGACTATCAGCCGTGCCAACCGGCAACGAGCTATAAAAGTTACCCATTTCAATGCGAGGCGTATTCACTGATAAATTTTTTATGTTACACAGTCTAGCTCTTTTGCAGTGCTTTATTTATTATTCTATTTGTTATAGCCAAGTGATGGTAAATAACAAGGCTTATTAAAGGGCATATAAAAGGGCCCCAAGATCTGATATATAAGTTTTTGAAGAATTTTTTTACAAGAAATAAGCATGTTAAATACCTCGTCAAGATTAACACTCCGTGTCTCCATATGGCGAAAAATTGTTCTAAATAACTTTATTTAATTTAAAAAGCGGTCATGTTAAACCCAGGAAAATCAGCATCAAGAACGGACTGAAATTAGTTAGGACTGGAAGTACAAATTTCTGAAATCCATTTAGCCTTTCAAATCGACGACGTGATAAATTGTTGCCAACTTCCTTATATTGGTGGCCCGGTGGGCCAGCAGAGTGTGTTCGTATAATAGTTCTGCCATTAATAATCACACGACGAGCTCAAATTATTTTGTTAGAGTTACTACAAGAATCCTCTCAACCGACAGACAACTAGTTGAGACAACTAAATAAACGAGACAACCGCCACTTCCAGAGACGGGACAACCGCCGCGTCTAGAGACGAGACAACCGCCACGTATAGAGAAGAATTGACATGCCTAAAAGACACTGAGATCATTCATGACGCCGTCGCCAAATACGCCAAATCTTATATTCCCGGCCACAGAAATGAAAGAATTCATCACACGAGCCGGCAGCCCAGGAAGGAGATTACGGAGGACTTGTCTCAGGGTTTCAAAAGAGAAAAAGATTGAATATCATACAGGATATCGATGGCGGAAAAGCTCAACTGAACAATCGGCAATGATAGCTCATTTCGGGATAAAATTTTGCGGTAGTAAATAATGTTATTGCTTATTGGTCAAGTTTGTGTACGTAATTTCACCTTTGATTTCACCTATATAGGACGTGTGTAACATCAATGAACTTTATTGTTGAACATACGGCAGAACCATACGAAAAATTCTCTGAGAAATGCTAAATATAGCTTTTCAATTGCATTTATGCTCGACAGATCGCATACAAATAATGGTTGGTGCTAAATTCGTAGTGTTATTTATAATAAATTTAATACAGGAGTATGAAATTTAATTATGTTGAAAATTATAATTGAAATTTTGACAGTAAATGACACGAAGCATCATGAATTTGAGTACACTATAGGCACAACAGAGCACAATCAGTTCTCATTGAAGGCATCAATTTTACGACGCCACAATTCATCTTAATTACAAATAATTTACATCGAGCATTTAGGAGCGTGCCGTTCGACGCCCTAGCCAGCGAGTGTGCAGATAAACATTGGCTATATTGGTTTTGCAAAACCAAACTTGATACACAACGAAAATATCAAATTCTTGATGAGATCGAATCAACAACTTTAACATAGATAAAAATCACAAAATGATATTCACGTATACAACATCCTTGCATTATCTATAGTACCTCAATAATATGCACATTAATTTAAATCTGTAGCAAATTTAAAAATTAATGTGATCTTATCAGGTCCTAACAGTGATACCAAAACCGACAGGTTAATACATCACAGCGTTATAACCTGGCACCTGTGAACTGTAAGATGAAGCGGAATGCGTGTGCAAACAAAGCATCGAACATCGTAGGAGTCACACCGAAGTTCAATTAACAGTGAGCACCCCCCTCGGCGAAGCATCAATCGCTGTGCAAAAATGACCAGCAACAAAACCATCATGACCAAATGCAGCCTCAGCTCATCAGCGTCTCTTGAATACATCGCTTGATGCGCATGAGATGATGGCTGAGCTCATCAGGCAGTTAGGCGCGCGGCTTGCAGTTCTTGAGAATGCATTTGACCATAGAGGGTGAAACTGCTTCGAAGCGACACTGATGTTTCGTGTTATAGTGATTCATAGGTGATTTAAATTGTATTGCTTGAAGCACCACACTTTTCACAATTTATTAGCGGTTGATGTGTTTTGGTGATGCATGTTAGTATGATTATTATTCGGCAAAATTATTTATTTATATCTTATAATATATGACGGACGCGTATAAATCGAAGGAAAGATAAAATGCGTACCCAGCTTCCATGGACATCAAAATTCGTATTCGATAACCTGAACAAAACAATAATTTTGATAGTCGTCCGAGTGGAGGCTAAAGAGTAATTGGTAACAGCCACTCACACTCAGCAAGGTCACAGCCAAAGTAAGAAACTTGCATGAAAAACCAAAGCTGTTCTGGTAGAGCGAGCGCTGTGGTACGTCGACCGCTACAGCGTGGGAGAATTTTTTTGTGTTGACAAAACTCAATCTTGACCATGGAAGTTTAGAGACTCCCTTGTAACAGATGAGGAATTGTGTACTACCTACACAACTTCGAACTTATAGTCGTCATGATTCTCTTACTCCGGTACAGATACTACGTAGCCTGTGATTGGCATGAGAGAGATATCCGCGATCAAAACGTAAAATATTTGTCGTAAAGATGTTGAATACTTGCGATGAAAACGTAGAATACAGCCGACCAAAATGTAGAATACTGGAGATCAAGACGTAGAATGATAGTGGTAACGACAGGAAATAATCCACGCCAAGAACAAGAATACTAGACTGTACATCAAGTCGTCGAATACTCGGGACATATCTGTAGAATACTCTGGGCCAAAACCCGTGAATACTCGGAATGTACACGTTGATTACCCGAAATTAAGATGTAGAATACTCGAAATTAAAATGTAGAATACTTGAAATGAAGACGTAAAATATCTTAAATTAAGATGTAGAATACTGGAAATGAATAAGTAGAATATACGAAATTAAGATGTAGAATACTAGAAATGAAGACGTAGATAGTCCGAAATTAAGATGTAAAATACTAGAAATGAAGACGTAGAATATCCGGAATTAAGATGGAGAATACTGGAAATGAAGACGTAGAATATCCGAAATTAAGATGTAGAATACTGGAAATGAAGACGTAGAATATCCGGAATTAAGATGGAGAATACTGGAAATGAAGACGTAGAATACTCGGGATGAAAACGTATAGAATACGCGCAAGCAAGACTTTCCAGATGCTCTCGCACGGCACAGAAAGATAACTCTCGATCAAGACGTTGATGATGAAGAGCGCCTGCACGAGTAGCGCGGGGATGTGGTGAGTGAGCATGCGAACTGTGTCAGCGCTGCACGCTATGATCCACTCAAATTTTAAAAACTCACACATTCCCACACTTTGAAACTTTTCTTCAGCCCCGAATAGACAGAAGGAAAATCATCCATATGCGTATGAAGGAATTCTCGAAAGGTTTTTTCCACGATTAAAATATACAACAAACGCATCTTGCTTTAAAAAAAAGCGTCTCGGGAAGATTTTTTTGAATGGTTACGAATTACATCATCATATCGTGGAATTATGCTTGAATTTCATGGAAGATATTAGACAAAAAAACGTGAGTCGGATGCATGTTGCATTTTTTGCTATAATCGACATAACTGTGCCGATGTTCAAAATGATGATGTCTACAATAACAAATTTATTACCCAAGTGCATGTAATTTCGGGAATTTATTTTTACCTGAGCGCATAAGGGTCGAACAATAATATCAACAACAGAACTGCATGCAAATGATAACAAACAGGCGTGGTACTCACAGGTAGACTTGCTTGGCGTCGTCCTCCTTGACGCCTCGTCGCCGTGGCAGCGTCGCGGGTGGGTCAACATGACCCACCATGGTGGTGGTTGCCTGCTCGCCGCCATGACAGTTGGTGTAGGTATTGTTACAATTGTTGTTGTTGTTAGGGCCCTCTGTCGGAGACTCACTTCGACTGCTTGACTTTTTGTTCAGGCGCAGCGATAAGGACTTTTTGAACTTCTGGAACATTCCTGCTCAGATAGAGGATGCGAAGTTTAATCGAGGTGTCTGTAAATCAGTGAAAGACCGTGAAACTTCAATCGACTTAACGAACGTTACGCAACAAATAAATTCATATATACAAAAAAGGATGTAATTAACAAGTTGAACGTGGGTGCATTAGTCATTAGTGCACCTAATGTAACATCAACTAACAATTACAGTGCAAATCTAGAGTAAGTTTCCAGCAGTTGCAACTGACCGTTGTTGGGAGCGGCGGATTCGGTGAGCGCTCGCTGCTGCAGATGTTGCTGCAGCTGAAGCTGCGTCATGTGAGGTAACGACTGATGGCCGCAAACATCAGCAGACTGGTCAGACTTTCCAGCGCTAGTCTCAATAAGAGCTTGATTGTCGAGCCGGTTTTCTACGAGGGTATCGTCGAGAAACTCGGCGCTGTTGTGTACGCATTGAACTTCTGCTTCGCTGAACTCCCGCTGGACACTATAGCGCTTGTCGTTATTTCTGCTAGAGCTGCTATTCTGTAAATTTTGTTCGTTGAAGTCCAGGTACTCCACGTTGGAGTTGAATTCTAATCCACCACCAGGAGGCCACTGGGTTCCTATAGATTTATTAGAAGGAGTGTGGTTGTGGGTGTTGGTGTTGGGATATTGGGAGGAGTTGTAGGAGATGTTGCTGCTAGGATACCGTGTGCTGCCACTAACGGAATATCGACTTGTGTCATCGGAGTTTTTACCCGTGTACTTATAGCTACCATCTGATAAATTATCGGTTAGTTGGCCGGAGTTTTCGGGATTGTTGAAGATTTGGCTAGTAGTTTCAGAGGAGCGATTGGAATATCGTATACCATTTCCAGATATGTGTTGAGTATAACGACTAGAGTAGTCGCAATTAGTATCGTTGTGACGATTGTTGTGATCAGAAGAGTGGCGGTGATATGAGTCTTGTATCACGGGTCGCTGCCTGAGCTCGTAGCCCGCCTCCGCTGCTGTGTACTCGCCTCCAGCCTCGCTGATGAACACACAAAAAACTTTTTATTGTCTTGTTATAACGGACTATGACAATTATGTGTTATAAACTGGTAAACAAGCGATAGTCTTCCCCTGAATTTTCACTTAATATCATAAAATGACGAAATAGTTGGGTGTGAGCAAAGAGAAGCGTAAATAGTAAATATATAGTAGCATGACAGCAGCAATAGCGCAAAGCCAATTTTCTCATTGAGAAGTTTAACACAATGAAATTTACAAAATTATATCCCAAAAAGTAAACAAGATATAAAATAAAATAATTAAAGTGGATATGTGCTGCAAAATGAAATCTGGAATTCAAGCTAATATGTGTACCGGTATAATTGCGTACTCCGTATGGGAGGAGTACGTCCAGTAGTCGTATTTTTGTTTCAATCTGCCTTAGAAACCATTTTCTACCAGGAATCTCTACATTGCCTAGTTTTCTTTCGTATTCAAAGAAAATTAAGTTGAGCTTAAACTATAAAGGATAAACGCAATCAAATCCAGGCAACATTTTAACCTTAAAAAGACATTTTGATACAACAGAATGAAAGCAATTTTCAAAATTTTTATTATGTATTTGTAATGGTCTGTGTGCGTTATTTATTATAATTTATATTAATATTAATATAAATATTAATTTATGTGAGTTATTTATTATACGTAATGATCTGTGTGAGTTGTTTCTTTGAAGCATTGCGCTGGAAATGTATAAGGTTCGATCGAACGTACGATACTGATAAAATCTTGATCCTTTTATTACTACCTAATACCACGACGCTATAAATGTATTCACACTTATTAATGTACTCACACCTATTAGTATTGATAATATACTAATACTATCGATAATACTAAAAGTGATTTAATATTTTTATACTGGTGGAATCACGAAACCTAAAAAAGTCGAGATAAGGTGGATTGGAAAATTGATAAGTGATTTCTTCTTCGGCACTTGAAATTTCTAAGAAAAGAAAAATTTTAACCTCCCAAAAATTTTATAGAACAGTGCTTTTAATGTTCCTTGCTGAATGTGAACTTGATCGGGTCCTTCTTTAATTAACGCACTTTAGCTTAACTATATTTATTTAAGTTCGGGATGAGAACGCGGGAGGACGGAATACTAAAATGACTATCATAAGCATAATCCATACCGGGAAACTCCCGGCAGCTAACCGATTACAATAGTAATTTATAGTATGGTAAATAATCCGATAGCGATCATGAGATCTCAACATAGAAAAACTATCACTGGGACATTAAATAGACCAGCGCAATTAAACGGAATTGACATACTTTAATAAGTAATCAAAAAGTTTAGCTCTTCATTTACAACCCGTTATTCGAAGCATGCCCTCTTTCTATTTGAAGGCGATGCATGAAGAAGATTTCAATTCCCCAGTATTTTAGTTCTTATGAATTGAGATTTGACATTTGATTCGTGTTTTGTGAATTACACTTTTGCTCAACAGGTAAGATAATTTCTGAAGAAAAAGTCTTTGTTTACTGATAGCCAGAATTTCGGTTAAAATTTGGTTTTTCGATTTAGATTTGATCATTTGAAGGCATTACATTCTTGTTTTTGATTTGGCTGATAACATCATGACGATGCTTTTTATTCTCCTGAGATATAATTTGACTTGAAACCACCAAAATGGAACAGGTAGTTAAGGAAAGAACGACAAGGAGCGGTACTATCGGAACTCACTTACGAACACCGATTCTTGATCTATGATTAGTGGGTATAGCTAGAAAATAGAAATTAGTGGGTATAGCTAGAAAATCGATCAGACATTGGTTAACTGAGTAATGGATTCTCTACATTTTATGAAACTACGATCCCAGAGCACGATAGCAGCTTCTTACCAGGATGTGTCGCAGACGACGCCAGCTCGAGACGGTCTCGTGTACACAGGGGAGTTCGATACGTTTCTTTTGCTATTGTTCTGCACGCCTCCATCTTTGCTGGAGCGTCTCCGCCCTTCCCGATGACACGTCTTGGCATCTTGTTTAGCCACGTTTCTCTTCTCTTCATATTTGTTGTTGTTGATACTACAGCTGTTGACATCCACCGTGTCTCTGTTGATGTTGTACAAGTTGCGCTTTTCCAACAGCAGAGAAGTTATTTGATCTTCGGACCCAGGGCAGTTTTCGTAGTGGCGGTTCGACGCTGCAGAGTTACGGCTGTCGGAAGTGATTGCCACGTGGGAAGATCCGTCCTGGTGAGGAAATTAGATATATTTATATAAATATAACAATTCAATTTCAATCAATTAACAGAAATATGAGCCATAATGATTCAAAATAATCATGAATTGTAAAGAAATGCACATGAAATAAGAAGTTGAAGTTGGCTTGAGAAAATGACGGGTACCTATGTTATTTAATAGTATTTTTTCATACGTGGTTACATGAATTTTGTCGCACAAATATAAGCTAAAATATTGTCTCGTTTGCGAACGTTCGGCGCTGCTACAAGCATACATGGAATGAAGCCCAGACTTAAATGCATAATAAGGTTAATTAATGACGAAATCTATATAAAAACTTGAGTACCTTCTATGACCACGATAAAACGAGGCAAAAACAGGCAAAGTTATCGCTTTCGGTTAAAAAACTCAGGACATTTTTGATGCATGCAACGAATAGTAGGCTATTTGATCTGACAATATTCAATTATTTGATAAAGAATGATAAGGCTTCCGTAACATAGAGCTGTTGTGCGCAAAAATGAGCAAAAGGTTTCTCATCCACGCGCATTACATCACAAACTATAACAGGACGAAATACTGTATGTATCAACTCCACCAGCACTACCGATTCTTTATAATGCACAGTAGTGCATCATTTTATACGAGTATACAGTAAGATAATGGTTATGGTATAGCACCATTGGTAAGATAATGTAAGATAATGGTAAGATAATGGTAAGATAATGGTATAGCACCATTCACCATAATGATAATGGTATGTTAATAAATAATGAGTGCCTTCGCTTCTTATGTATCAATATCAATGCAATTTTATTTCACAAAAGAATAATATGCAAAGTGTTGAAAATAAAATGATGGATTTTCAAAACCTCGTATCAGGAAATAACAGCCGGATACCCAGGTAATTTGTACGTGTTAAAACCCCTGATATTATACCATACAACCTTCAATAATTCTCCGACTGCAATAATTGCAGTATATCATGAATTCGGAATAATTGAAGTACAGTGCTATGTAAAAATATGCCAACGGACTTTCGCGACGCGATCACAGCGGACGCTATATGAGCGGCGACGGCGTGGGAAAAAATTGAAGGTTTTTACGGAAGTACAAAAGTTGTGTTTTTGCATGCCTGTCGAGTTTGACGGCAATGGAAAGTAAGTGACTTGCCACACACTTTGATGACCGACAAGTGCATGGCCATCTTCGCCGATAACACTAGCGTCATAAATCAACGGAAATTGATTCAAGAAACTAAACTACATCAATGAGCCTCGGAACAATGTGCCAACGACACGATTGCAGGAAAACGAAGAGCTAACGACTTCCTTTGCCAACTGTACTTTTTCTTCTAGAAAATGTTCCCGTTTGTTTAAACTGTACACTCGTGATACAATAGAACAATTTCTACAAATTAATTAATTAAATCGTTCAATTCATTATTTTGTCAGAATATTATTTTATTGTTCTACTAATATAGTTGTAAGATTTTCTGGATAATTCTTCATGTATAAAATCAGAACGGATCCTTATAAAAGGTCTTGACACAAACATAAAACCTATTATGTGTACATAATGAACTTTTCAGAGGTCCTAAAGTCCTATTACAATATTAGACATAATTTGAACAAAAGACAAGGAGCATTGAAACAATATATGAAAATAGCTAATATTACCAGGCAGAATACGGGCGAAAAAAGTGTTATACTAGTTTAAATGAGAATTCTAGGCCACATTCTCAGTAAAAATGTTATTATTTATATAAAAATTAAGAGCATTGATAGGAGTTGGGGAGTTCGGTACTTTACATCTCTGTTGGTAAAGTTGGATACTTTCGCAAAGAGAACGCAATTGCGCATCAGCAAGGAAGTTTTGAACGTCACCAGTTCTTGACCACAAAACCATCGCTTGTGTAGGCTATATATACGCTCCTTCAGGCTTCAACATCATAGTCGTTCTGCATTACAAAGAAGAATGTCTGTATCTGTAGCAAGGCTGCTACTGGTATTGGGAAAAGATTCAATTCTGCGAATAAAAAATGTAAATTTTTTGAAATGAAGTATTTTCGAGTGATTTCTAGAAATGTAGTGAATGATCGGTCCCAAGTGAATTCATAGCCCATGGAAAGAGTAGGAAACGTCGTGATGCAATGAAAGGGTTTAACAGAAAGCTCAATATTTCATATCCATCCAGGACCATCCTACACAACAAAATTCATTTCAAGCAAAAATTAAGTTAGATACCTCATTTCGCGATTTATAGAAAATAAGTCGTTGAATTGGGTATGACGTACGAATATAAATATTAATATAAAGTGAATGTTAAACTAATTAGTAAACTCTCGCAATGTAATATTTTCTTAGAATAACTTCCGCACAGGAAGCGTAACCTCTATAAGCACATCTTGCGTTACAGTCAAAGCTGCTGTTGTTTCCACCAAAGTGCGCCTGCACGCACAGTGCTTGGCTGTGCTAACGCTATTTCAGGAAGCACTTCACTAGATAGCCTCCGCTTGAGGAACTGAGAGACATTTCATGGGGAGCCGCGGCGAGTAATTAATAACTTTAAGTAAGTCAAGCATGTGTGGTCAAGGGTCCTACGACGGTCGTAATGCCAAATTATTCGGATTTTGCAGGCTTTTTAGGGTACATGCCCGGATGTTTGGTGGTACATGACAGTTATAGGTGACACACACGAGACTGTCGACATTTATGTCGAATTCGAGGAGAAAACAAGACCGATTTTTGTCACTTATTGAGCAAGATGTGTATTATAGTTTCAAATTCACTGTAATTTATAGGGAAATCCATCACCACAGCGTACTACTGGTATACCCTGAAGAACGAGCAAAGGGATTGAAAAACCGCATTTGTCTGACTATTGAGAAAACACATTAGTAGTCTTGCTTCAGAATTAGTGACGTTTGCTGCAGAAATAAACAAGTTGGCTGCTGAAAGAGGACAGTTGGCTGCTGAAAGAGAACAGTTGGCTGCTGAAAGAGGACAGTTGGCTGCTGAGAAAAGGCAGTTGGCTGCTGATAAAAAGCAGTTGGCTGCTGATAAAAGACAGTTGGCTGATGAGAAAAGGCAGTTGGCTGCTGATAAAAGGCAGTTGGCTGCTGATAAAAGGCAGTTGGCTGCTGAGAAAAGGCAGTTGGCTGCTGATAAAAGGCAGTTGGCTGCTGAAAGGGGACAGTTGACTGCTGATAAAAGGCAGTTGGCTGCTGAGAAAAGGCAGTTGCTGCTGATAAAAGGCAGTTGGCTGCTGAAAGAGGACAGTTGGCTGCTGATAAAAGGCAGTTGGCTGATCAGAAAAGGCAGTTGGCTACTGAGAAAAGGCAGTTGGCTGCTGAAAGAGGACAGTTGGCGTCTGAGAAAGGGCTGAGTGTGTTCGGTTGACAAGCAAGATAGCAGGACAAGCTTCTTAATGGAAGGCCCTCCAGTTATCTCAGTGCGCTGTACACAACCATCAGTAACGACTCCTCGAGAGCAGCCAATTTAAGAAGCTGCTACTCACCAACGTACAGTGTTGGGACGTGGGCGGTGGCAAAGAAGTTTAAATTAACATCAACTAAATTATAGTTGATGTTTTCATGGAAAATAGATGGGTTGGAAAATAGTAGATATGATAGATATGAGCCATGGAATAAATATAAGTGCAGCTTATATTCCCGATGTTCTTCGTTCAGAAAGAATAATTTAGAAATCGAGTTAATATAAACGTATTTTATCACCGATATAGAAATTTTTCTGGAATTGTTGGTGTTGAAGGAATATTCAATGTCGTCGATATTACCGAAACATATTCCGTAATAAGTTAATAACATTTTCCGCATAGCCATAATATTACTCATCATAAATTTATTTTGCGTAAATTAATATTGTTTAAATATAATCAATATTGTGCATAGTTATGAATGTGATAAATGCAGTGGTTATTTAACCTAAACTAAAACTTTTGGTGATCTAAAACTTCCACCTGGCAAATAAGTATAGTCGGAGACGTAAGCTCTAGTAAACATTTCTGATTAATTCTATGCACGACTCAATTTAACTCTTGCATATTCCACAAGAGGGTCATGTGAGAGCCTATAGAAACCGAATCATGGACAATTGACAATTCATTGGAAGTTTTTTTTTAATGAATTCAACGAGAAATTAATGAATTTAAATTAGGCGATAAAGCACAGGATAAATTTTAGCAGCGAAGGAAAATGATTTCGTCCCGGCAGATTAATTATACAGGCAAGTGCTGCGACCACCAGTGAGTTGGCGCTGCGAGTCAGTCCCTGCAGTGAGTGGGTGCTGCGAGCCAGTCCCTGCAGTGAGTTGGCGCTGCGAGCCAGTCCCGGCAGTGAGTGGGCGCTGCGAGCCAGTCCCGGCAGTGAGTGGGCGCTGCGAGCTAGTCCCTGCAGTGAGTGGGCGCTGCGAGCCAGTCCCGGCAGTGAGTGGGTGCTGCGAGCCAAAGCCAGTCCCGGCAGTGAGTGGGCGCTGCGAGCCAGTCCCGGCAGTGAGTGGGCGCTGCGAGCCAGTCCCTGCAGTGAGTGGGCGCTGCGAGCCTGTATGTGCAAGTAACTGTAGCGCACGCACCCCCCTGAAGTAATGACCGCTCCTCCTGCATAATTAGAGCTGCAGCAGCCAGAGCCCGAAAGGGGGGGGGGTCGTCCAGCCCCTAATAAGAGGGATGGGGGAGCCATCCCCCATGGGGCAAGTCATGACGCTCCATAAATTCCGCGAAGGACTTCCAAACAAGCTGCGTTGCTGCGTCTATCATTTACATTAATTCGTGCCTAACTTAAATTTATTCGAGTACAAATCAAGCCAGGAACTTATTGCTGAAGCGAAAGGGAACGCTGACCAGAAATCGCAGTCACGCGTAGGAGAAACCGTCTCAGTAAATTACAATAAGAATGAGCGGTAAATTATATGAGGTATAGCCATAACTTTCATAATTCTAGGAATAAACTGTGGCAGGCAATTAAATGCAGAGCATTAATAGAGCACTAT